GATTTTTCACCACTAAAATGAATTATAAGTTATAATAAATGGATAATTAGGTTGAAATGAACATGCTGATATAAGTGAACAGACACAATGCTCTGATACAATGGAGAGCACATCTGTTTCTCAGTGTCTGCATTTGTTCAGGCTTTCATTCCCTAGGTGGAAGGATGAGGGCTACAAAATATGACCTTGCAATGACAGAATTATAATGTGTGGTGTGTGCAATTGAAGCATGGCACCCTCCCATCCTTTATTGCTATGTATATGAGTAGTATTTCAGTAGTGCCGGTTCTCATCTAAATGTCGAGGTCTTCTCCAAGTAAAATACCAGCTCATAAAATTGCTGTTTCTTAAAGAAGTCAGATATAATTTTAATCAAAAGTAAAGCTTCTTGTTCCAATACTAATGGCAATGAAAATGTGAAAAGCTTCCTAAAACCTGGCAAAACACATTCTTTGACATTTTTCTAAACAGAGTAATAGTTTTGCCACACATTTGAGGATTTTTTAAGTTATACATATGTGTGTGTGTTCTGATGTGTTAAATATTTTTATTTCTCTGAACTTCTTCCCCCTAATTTTTCTCCCAGAAGATGTGTAGTTTACACTTCATTCTGACTATTGGGCTCTGTTCTAAAGTGACATTATTTAACTTCCTGCTAATGTAAAAAGATTCACATGGCCTTTCTTCTTTCCTTTTCTAATGAAAAGAATTGCTAAGAATTGGAAGTCTTCTGCTTCTTTTTAACTGGAAGTCTTCTTCTGCTTCTTGGTCTAGCTAGCTTCTGCAATTCTGTCCTTTGTGAATAGTACAGAAAAGAAGAAATAAGTTAGGGTAATAAAAAGGATATTTAGGCAGAGGGATGAGAATGAGAACAGTAAGTTTCCCTTGTCCTGTGATTGTTGAAGTAAATGCCAACCTCCTTATGCTTGATTTCATTTATTTCCAGTCTCACTGGTTTACAAAAGCCTGACTTTTCTCCTGGACAATAATCAAGTTATGGTCATGTGAACAGAGAACAGTAGTCATTTGTTTTACTATCAACTCTTTCCCTGTTTTCCTGGTTGGTGAAGTTATGATTTTCATCTCTGAACCTAAATATAAAATCATAGTATTAGTATTTCCTAGAAACCACACTATGCCAGATTTCTATAATGCAAAAATTCTGAAACATAATATCTTAGCACAATTATCATAAAAACTTATATCTAAAGATCAGCAAAATATATAAGATTAACAAACTTAAAATGAGAAGATAGATTGGGAAGAAGAATATAATTTCCTGCACCCGTGTCTAGAATTAACACTCATTGCCTTACTTTCCACGCAGCACAACGAAACTAGATGTTTTGTTACATGTATATATTTCTTAGGGAGGTGAGAAGAGCCTTTCAGTAGAAGAGATCAGAAAAATTGAGTTCTCGTAACTCTGCCTCAAACTCAAGGAATGACTTGAAGGAATGACCTTAGTTTCCTCAACTGCAAAATAAGAGTACTGCTAACTTCATTACTTAATATTTCTGTAGTATAACCGGATTTGAAAACATCCTAGCTAGCACAAGGAAAGGGAACTGTTTATCATGAATAACAACTTAAAGCTGTGTCCCATTGGTTTATTTAGAAAACTCACTGTTCAGTTGGGGTAACCAGCTTTAAGGGAAAAAAATTTTTTTTCTCAAATTATTTCCTCTTTTATAATGAACCTTCTTCAGGACAAACATTATCTATTGATGACAACAGCCCATTTGCCTGTAGCAAGTCTCTTTAACAATGCCTTGTAATTTAAATCTATTACCCGCTATGAATATTCCAAGTAAGCATTGATTTGGGGGTTGTAAATAACAAGGCTGTATAGATTAAATTAATTTAGCCTATGCCTTGTCTACATAGCATTTATTTCTTTAAGTACCTGTACTATCACAGACCCTCAACTTACATTTTTAACTCACTAAGTAAAGAACTATCAAGCATTTCACTTATAACCTGAATGTTTTTTTAAAAAGCAAACTAACTCACAAACGTATTTATGTATACAGTATGTGTGTGTGTGTGTATAAATCTGAGGGTTTTTTAAATCACATATGTTATCTTTGCTTTAAACTTGGGGAGCATCATTTTTTGTCATGACTATGAAGCAAAATTCTAGTCATGACAAAAATGATGCTCCCCAAGTTTAGTCTAGTATGAAGCAAAATTCTTCAGATACAACTGGATTAGTAGAAGTGGGGCTTAAATGTGAGAAGGAGTTTGAGAAAAGGACAAGGCAATGTTTCCTATAGATGAGGTCAGAGAAGATTAACATCCATTCTTCTGACCCTGTGTTAAACAAACCCACCGCTTCTAGATAGTGTTTTATACTCTAGTTAAGAAAGACCAGGTGATTTTTTTTTTTTTTAAATTCAGATTAGTATAAGGGTACCAATGTTTAGGTTATTTTGTTTTGTTTCTAGGTAACGTTCACGTTCCAGATGAGCCCTTCACCCGGGGCGTGCTGAACACCCTCACAGTGTGCACGTTAAGTGAGGTTCCACCAAGTGGTTTTATTTTCTCCCCTGCAAGTGAACCACTATTTCCAGACTATAATGTTAAGATGATAATGTGTTAATTAAAAGGCACACGTGCTTTCTATGTCTGGTTCTTGAAAATCCCTTTTAATCTCATAAAATCTAGAGTTTGGGTTTTTATGGGGTTTTTATACTTTCGTCTTTGATAATTTACTCCCTCTGCCTTCATTGTTCTAACAGAAACTCCTATTAGTTACATTTCCACTTTTTCTCTCCTATATTCCTTCCTTATCTACTTTCTGATATGTGCTTACTGGTATAATCTTTCAAGGGCTCTGTTGAATATACAGGGTAGAGTTTTCCATGTTCTTATCTTTTCTCTATAATACTCTCTATTTTTTGTTTAAATAGCATCTTTTTTTCATGAGTACACAGTGTCTGAAACTCATAATTTCTTGAGATTTTATTCCTTTCCCTCTTTTGTTTTAGCTTTTTCCTGTCTTAGTTCAGACTGCTATAGCAAAGTACCACCAACCAGGTGGCTTATAAACAACAAAACTTATTGCTTATAGTTCTGAAGGCTGAAAGTCCTGTGCCAGGCTTCTAGCAAGGCCAAGTTCTGGCAAGGACCATATTCTGGGTTGCAGACTGCCATCTTCTTATAAACTCAACTAGCAGAAAGAAAAATCTGAGTTTTTAAGTATTTGTATGTAAAAATGACAGCCTTTCCTTCTGTAAAGAAGGGAACCCAAGCAGATTAAAAACAATCTAATGTCTTTTTGGATTCTCTGTTCTTATTCACAAAGTGTTCTTTCTTAGCATAATTCTATAAAAAATTAAAAGTTCTTCTTCTAAAATTACCAAAGAAAAGAAAGAAATGTATATGTAGAAAGGCCTGTAGCAATAATCATTTTGTGCTTAAAGAGGTCTCATTTTTAGAGATTGTTTTCAGGCTCCCCCAAATTGTATGTAAAGTATTGTTTGTCATAATATGCATTTTAAATCAAGTTCTCAAAAAGATACATTATCCCAAAATGATTATTAATTACTGATCTAGTCCAATAAGGATCTTAGTTCAAGCTAGGGAAGTAATTTTCTATAATTAGATGTAGCTGGAACCTAAATTCCTAAGGCTGCTCATGCTAGTTTGCACTCAAATGTTAATTCCTGACAAGTAGATTGTGTTTCTTAAACTTGCATAGTCTTGTGAACACACATTGCTGCTTTATTTGGTGCAAAGGAAAAGTTTAGTTTAGAGAAATTTCAAAGACACCATTTCAATTTTAACATTTATTGCCACTAAAATTAGTGATTTAAGACTTGTATGACAAGAATTATTCCTCCAAATCCTTCAAAACAAAACTTTCTTAAACATGTGTGATGAAGGCCTAATTTCATTTTCATCTTCAGAAACGAAAATTATTTGTGTTTAATGCTGAACATTTGAACATCTACTAGAACTTAAAATAGGCAAAGAGGTGAACAGAATAGCACACTTGCTTTGAAATATAATCTTTAGTTTTTGAAAAGTCTTCTATCTGGGTTGAAATTAAGTGTGCTAATGTAATCACATAAATAAATTATGGTAAGAAAAATGTCAGTATTGCACATTAAGCCTGGACTAACTCAAATTTCCTTTTACTAGTTATTTCTGTCATGAGTTTTTATGAAAACTCTTTTTAACCTAAAAGGTGTCTCCAAAATGTACTGGTTATTAAATATGCTTTCAGAGCAAAATCTGCAGAAGTATTGCACTTTTTCCATTACTTTTTTTCTGACTCACCTTCTTTCCACAGAAGGAAGAAGAATGAATTCCAAGGAAAGAAAGAAATACCTACAAGTAAATGTGCTTATGGTCATTCAATGCTGCATGATTTAGCATGCTTGGCTGCTAATGGTGAATTGTAGCAAAAAATAACAGTAGCATCTATCATGTTATATGTGGCAAGGCAAGTCCCATTGCTGATTTCAGCAATGCGTTATATTTGTTAAATACCTACTAATTGATAAATATCTACTAAACAAAATCACTAAATTATATGAATACCTTAATTCTTAAGGTAGTAATGTGGGTTTTTTCCTCTGAACCAAGAACAGAATAGCCAGGGCACATAAACTGATAGGATTATACAGTGTGGTCTCAGCAGTGACTTTAAACCCATAATTCCCTGTGCAAACTCCAAGCAGTGCAACAATAGTATTCTTAACTCTGAACTTAAATCTAAACAAGTAATGAAGTACTTCTTCCTGTGTAGATAGTAAGATACAGGTTTTGCTATTCAGAAGTGTAACTACACTTTTGACATCTCCATCATAAACCAATGTGTAAGAAGTTAGGGAAATCTTATATCTCAGTGCCTCCTGACTGACATGATGCCCTTTGTTCTCAAAGTGCAATTTAAACAGAGCATCTTAAAAAGCTATGACCTAAAATAAATTGTGTCTGGGAAAAAGTGGAAAAAATATAGAAGCCAAAATGCCTAAAAAGGAAAAAAGAACTATTCACATATATGTCCCTTTATAATTTATGCTAGTGATATTTTCAATACTATGCAATAGCAACAGACTAAATAAATTGTTAACAAACAAGGGCCTATTAAATCATCATGCCTAATGCATGCTCAGGGAGGGCATATTTACCTTGAGGAAAAGGAATAAAGAAAGATATTAAAAATAGATATGATATTAACACCTGCACACAGTTCAGTCAGCATATAGTCTACAGACAACAAGTTTTAGTATAAGCAGTGAAAAAGATTAGATATCTTATCTACCCGTACCAATACAGAGTCCTGTGGTGCATTTTCAAACATTTAATACATTTGCCTGGAGCTTTTCCAAGCTAAAGCTATTCTGTTTATATACAACATAGGAAATGCAATCTGAGTTTCAGTGAATTTTTAATTTTGTTCAATCTTGCATTGGTTCAACCAAAAACAATTTAAAGAGGACCATGGCTATAAGCCTCAGAGTGAGTGAATTCAGTTCCTCACTAGAGAGTTTTTGAATCTGCTATAAAAATCAACAGTGTGCATCTAATAGTTTTCTTTTAATTTGAGGATTGAAAAGTGAATCATCACATCAAATGTTCTTTGGGGCTTCTTTGGTTTCCAGATTAAACATTTAATATGACCTTTCATCTTGCCACATTTTCTGCATTTCCATTTTAAATAATCATAAATAAGACAACCTTGCTACTCTTTGGCACAACATAGCTGTTTGACTCAGCTGAGTTGCACAGTCTTAGAAATTGCACTCATTCCATCTTTAGACTCCTGGCTCATGAGAAAGGTCTTCAGCTGAATGATTCTTTATTGTATTCAAATCTTGTCCCATATGAATTGTTTTGGTTACTTAGTTTATGAAGAGTCTTGGAAATGGAATTGGGTCCACAACAGAAAACACCAACTGTTTTCCTGGAAAGAGAGGGGGAGGAAATAGAAAATTAGGTGGAAAATTAGGCAAAGCATGACAAGAAGCATGCTTCAGAAGCATGGTTTAAGACAGTGGTCCCCAACCTTTTTGGCATCATGCACTGAATTCGTGGAAGACAATTTTTCTACTGACCAAGGGGCAAGGGGATGGTTTCAAGATGATTCAAGTGGATTACATCTCCACTTCAGATTATCAGGCAGTTTACAGTGGGGTTCCTCCTCCTGGGAGGATCCAATGCTGCCACTTAGCTGACAGGAGGTAGAGCTCAGGCCGTGATACAGCAATGGGGAGTGGCTAGAAATAGAGATGAAGCCTCCCTTGCTTGCCAGCAGCTCACCTCCTGCTGTGGGGACCAGTTCCTTACAGGCCCCAAACTGGTGCCAGTCCATAGCCTAGAGGTTGGGGACTTTGGGTTTAAGTTGTTAACACAGTTAATTTCTTGCTGTTTGACATATTGAAAAAAGTTCCTAATAATTTCCAAATGTAAACAACCAACAGGAATATGTTTTATTTACCTTATGCTTTTCATACTAGAATTCAGGATAATTCAAAGAATGTAACTATGAGCAAAAATTTACTTATTATTGGGCAGTGACTGATCAATCTGTTTGGTATTTTTGGTACATGCCATTGGTGAAATCAGAAGCCCTATCAAGAGCAGCAACTGATAGATGTAAATTGCTAAACAAGTGACTTATGACTAGATGTGTAGCCCATGCTGAACCATGTCAATTCTTCTTTTATTATTAATAGATACTGTATATATATTTTTCTAACATTCCACATGGATTTGCATGAGCATTGATGAATAAAGAGAGAGAAAAGTCATTGCTAGTTTGAAAGAATGTTTTTAAGAATTTTTATTATACATATACATTTAATATATGCTATAGCACAGACAGGAGAAACTCAAGCAGACTGGTGGCCTCCATGAGTTCAACGAATGGAGTTTATGGAGTCCAAACCAGCTAGAATTTGTTGAGCAGAATATGAAAGAGGAGGAGGGATCTGTAGAAAGAAGTTTTGGAAATCTCTAGAAAGGTGCACTCAAATTTTGGCTTATTAATAATCTGCTCATGTGAGAAAAGAATCAACAGACCAAAGAATAGCCAGAGTCTGCACAGAGCTGCTCATAACTTGTATTCCACAAACTGGAATGGAAAGTTCTATAATATAAGGGGGAAATGGTTAGTAGTCTTAGAAAAGTATAAGTATCACCTTATCTAAAAAGGAAAGAGATGTTGGTAAAATGAGCCTTAAACTAAAAGCTGCTCTGGAACTGCATTAACAAAACTTTTTTTTTTATTATTAAGTCTTTAATACATAGATCATAAATACATTTATGCCATTATAGGATTCAATGTGTTGATTGTTTGTACAAATTGGAATGCTTACTACCTATTAAACAACATAACCTTCACCACTTTTACCCAATTGCAGGATTAAGACATTTATTTTCTACCCCTGATAGATCCAACATGTACTTGCAGTATGCTCCATAGATGTGGTCCCCCTACCGACCCTCCTTCCACCGACCCACCCCCCTCCTTTCCCCTCTCCCTCCCCTTCCCTTCTTTATCCTAGGCTATAGTTGTGTTTCATTTTTCACATGCAATTGTGAGTGTGTACTGAGTACACTGGATATTTTTTTTTCCATTCCTGAGATACTTTACTAAGAAGAATATTTTCTAGCTCTATCCATGTAAACATAAAAGAGGTAAAGTCTTCATTTTTTTTAATGCTGCATAGTATTCCATGGTATACATATACCACAATTCTTAATAGCAAGTCTTGCAAAGATCAAATTGAACCCAAGTAACACAATTGCATGCCAAAGCAAGTCCAACACCTTTGACAAGAATAAATTAAAATTTGGCATCTAATATTCAAAGTTACAAATATATATCATTTGATCAAAAATTACCAGGAATGCAACAAACAAGACAATATGAGCTATAATTAGGAGTGCTACAGGCTGAATTGTTTCACAATCAAATTCACGTGTTGAAGCCCTAATTCCCAGTAGCTCAGGAGGTGACTATATTTGGAGACACCCTCTAAAGAGGTGATTAAGATAAAATGAGGCTATCAGGGTAGGCTCTAGCTCAGTTTTACTAGAGTCTTTATAAGATGAATAAATGTGAACACATAAGGTGAAAATGGGGTTGTGAATGGGGTTCTAGACACTAGAACTATGAGAAAATAAATTTATGTCATTCAGTTTACCTGTCTGTGGTACATTGCTATGGTAGCCCTCACAAACTAATACAAAAAGTCAGATCTTTTCATAGAAACAGGACAAGAATGACAGAGATAAAAAGATTATCAGACATGATCACGGAAACAATGATGATATATATGCTTTATATAGTCAAAGAGAAGATAAATGGAAGAATTTTTAAAAGGCCCAAATAGAACTTATAGAGATGAAATGCAATACTTGAAATGATAAATACAGTGGATGGGTTAAGAAAAGGACAGGTACTGCAAAAGAAAAGGTAAGCAAACTTGAAGACAGAAAATTGAAACTTACAGAGAATGAAGACTGGGACCAAAAAAAAAAAGAGTGAATAGACCTACAGTAAGGAAACTAATGATAAAATGCTGAAAACCAGTGAGGACTGGGAGAAAACATATAGAGGAGAAAGATCCATGAGAAATTATAAACAGAATTTAAAAGATAAGAACAAAAGTGAACTTCTTGTCATAACCTATGTAAGTTAGAAAGCAATGCTTCAAAGAACTGAAAACTAAAATAAAATGTCAACTATTCTATAACAAGCAAATTTTATACTAAATAAAAATGTCTTTCAAAAATAAAGATGAAATAAGAACTTTTCAAATAAATGAAAGCTGAAAGAATTTACTACACAGCAGTATAAGGTATAGTAAAGGAAATCAGAAAGAAGGAAAATAAAATCAGATGGAAATTTGATCTACTCAAAGGAATGAAGAGCACCAAATAGTAAACCTGTGAGTAAATATAAGATGTATATTTGTCTAACTTCTAATCTCTTTACCATCAAATTGATGTTTAAAACAAGCAAAAATAATAGAAGAATGAAGTTTAAAGCATATGAGGCCAATTATGTTTACGAACTCATCCTAGAAAAAAGTGCTACATACCTTTTTCCTACATATTACTGTGGTCACCTTCAAAGTGTCACCTTCAAAGTACTCGTTTTCTGGAATGACCATCAGAGATATTGTAGAATGGCACACGAAAACAGGAAACAGATCTTACTGAGTTGTTCGTACAGTGCTGCCAATGTATGCGCCGAGTGGCAAGTTCATGATCTTAATTTTCAGTCTTCATAGGATGACAGCTCTGATAGTCATTCCAGTAAAAGACTCCCAAACTTGCTTTGAAGGGTGGAGTAGGAACTTGTGTCAGTAGTTAGCTTCCCAAGACAGGTACTTTAAAGGTGACCATAGTGATAGTCAGCAATGAGGTACACAGCACTTTTTCTAGGCTGAGTTCACAAACTTAATTATCAGATCTCTTACATATAGGTACAATGAATGGCATCAATAGCAAAAGGGACAGAGGGATGGAGGTATGTGAAGAGGTTTAGGATTGTTTCAAGAAGACTATGATAAGCTAATGGTGTACAATGTAAGCCTAGAAAAAAGTTTCTCCATTTTGGCTTTATCACGATTATTTTAAGGATGTCATAAAACACAGATAGCTAGGTGGGCTTTATCCCTTGAGTTTCTGATTTGGAAGATTTTGGATAGGGCTCAAGAATTTGCTGTTCTAACTAGTTTCCAGTTGAGTGTACAACCAATGTAGTTTATGAATCAATGGCTCAAAGCATTTACTAATAGGACACAAACAAACACAGAATTATGGCTAATATGTTAATATTGAAGAAGAAAACAATCATAAAAAATTCAATTAATCCAAAGAAAAGTAGAAAATGAAAAAAAAAAAAAAAAA